GAAAGAGCATGCCTCCCTTTCCACTCTTCGGCTCTGAATCCACCCTGATGGACGTGAGGGTGCATGAGGTGCTGTTGCTGGCCCGAATGAGCAACAGCAAGTGGGCAGACGGGGAAACCACTCTGGTTTTTAACTTCCTCTTCCCTTCACAGTTCTTTCCTTAAATGCTCACCTAATAGCCATCTCTCCACCCAGCATTACCTTGTGCTTTTCAACCTGCTTTTAAGTAAATAACGCAGACTGTATGCTGTTCATCTGGAATCTCAGCGTCACTTTTGAGGCAAGTAAAAGGTGCTTATGGGACTGGGGCTGCTGGGCAGCTTTGAGCGGGTAGGTCTGAGAGTTCCAGTTGCTGCAGGAGGTCAGGGGGGCTGATTCTTGCTCCCCACGGCCATCAGGTGAGGCCCATTTTAGGCGGGGCTGGTCTTGATCCAGGCAGAGGAGGAGTTTCAGGCCGTGATAACAGGCCTCTGCCATGCTGGGGGCCAGGCCCAGGCAGGTAGCACAGGGGCATGGGAAAGTCCAGTGTCCTAAAGGCCACTTTCTAACTGAAAGAGGTCGGGAGAGCCACTTTCCCTTCTGTGCCTAAATGTCTTCATTTAGTAAATGGGAGATGCCTCATCTTCCCTTCTACCCACCTCACCAAGGAGCTGTACGAATCCAATGAGATTATGGTGGGCATGCATTTTCTAGGGTTTAAAGTGCTGTGTGAGTGCAGTTACCAAGGTAGCTATTGTTACTCCTACAATTCCCGTCTTCACAACTTGTTTCTAATCTCCTTTCACTGGGAGACATGAAGAAACCAGGAGCTGCCGTGGGTCCTGAGATCTGTTACACGGAGCTTTTGTCCTCAGGCCAGAGAGCTGCAGCTGGGAAGGCAGGGAGGACGTTGGGCTCATTTTGGCTTCTGTCCCTCTCCAGGTCCCCAGCCAGGCCCAATGTGACACACAGGCACTCAGGAATGGGTGGATGAATAAATGAATGATACAGGCCTCGGGGTATGAACCATGTTCTGAGGGAACTTTGAATCTTTTATCCACCATTCCTTCATTCATTCACTCGTTTGTTTGTTCATTCGTTCATTCAGTAAGCTTTTCCCAGGTGCTTGTTCCAGCCTGGCCTCTGTGCTGGGTGTTAAACTGCAGACATGAAGTTTGCCCAGTCCTCTGTGTGCCCCATCATGACACATTCTGAATGGCCGCCAAAGAGCTGAGAGCTAAATACATATTTTTTTTTCACTGAAGCGGCTCTATTAACCCAGGTTTGGGCTATAATCAGCAATCCCTTTTTCTCTCTGGGCTTGATCTTTGATTTTTCTTAATGACCCTATTGTGTCTTTGTCTTATTTTGTCAGCCGCTCCAGGGCCTTTTTGGAAGCAAGCAGGGTGCAAATTAGAAATCAATAAGTGTGCAATCATGAGTGTGTATACATATGCCACTGGCTCTGTTTTAAAAGAGCACTGCATCTCAATAGACTTAGTGAGCCATTTTCCAGGGAATGCTAAATGGGGCTGCTGGGTGGCTGTCTCCTCCACAGTCGGCCATGTGGTTTAAACAGCAATTCTGACGCACCTTTTCTTATTAGATCTATAGACAAAGACTGCTTAATATTCAATGATTATCTGAAAAATACCTTTTGGAAAGGATATGGTCGTATAATAAGACATGTAGTGATGGGAAAGGGAAGCAATATTTTTTGAGAACCTATTATATATGTATGATTATAATATTATCACTAACTAGTAAGTGGCAGAAATGTGACAAATTAGTTTAACTCAGAGGGGAAATATGTTAGTTAATGTGCATGGGAAAGCCAGTGGTAGTTATGGTTGGCTTCAGGAACAGCTGGATCCAGGAGCATGGCGGTGTCATCGGGACTTCATCTCACTCCCCCCAGCCCTAGGAGGAGAGCACAGCATGGCAGGCAAAAGCAGAAGACTCTGAGGGCAGTAACCTAGCAACCAGGGTGGAGAGGGTGTCCTCGACAACAGTCCTGCAGAAAAGAACTGAGGGTCAATTGCTTACCTTGGTCGCATGTCCAGCTCTGAGCAGATGCTGTTGCTGGCGAGATGGTGTCCTCTGATTGACCAAGTTTGGGCCATGCGTCCATCACAATTGTTTGCAGATGAGGGTGTGCAGGGCCTGGGAATGGGTTTCCCAAAGGGAAGAGTAATTCTGTTATCAGAGGACAGGGGAAGACACACTGGACTTGAACACAGCAGACATCTACAAGTTTATTGAGCATCTAGTCTGTTCAGTTCCCTGTGCTTTCATTGAATGGTTTGGATCCTCACAATAACACTTCAGGATAATAACAATAGCAAACACATTGAGTGTCGGGTGCTCTTCTGAGCACTTTACATAGAACTTGTTTGATACTCCTAATGATGCTATGGGGTAGGAACTATGAGTACTGTTCTGTAGATGTGAAACTGAGGCTCAGAGAGGTCAAAGAACTTGCCCAGCATCATACAGTTACTCAGTGACAGAACCAGGAATCAAATGTGGGTAATCTGACTCCGAAGCCTGTGCTTTTTTCCTACTACAATTAACTCCCTGCCTCAATACTCCCGTTTTACAGATGAGGAAACTAAGGCCCAGAGTTTAAATTACTTGTCCGTATATCCCATATTTCTAAGCAGCAGCACGGGGCACTCTGCCTCAATACTCAGATTTAGCCTTCACACCAATCCTGCAAAGAGAGTCATTATTAAATCTACGTCTACCTCCGCTCGCCGCAACTAGAGAAAGCCCTTGTGCAGCAACGAAGACCCAACGCAGCCAAAAATAAATAAATAAAACGAGTAAATTTATTAAAGAAAAAAAAATCTACTTCTAAAGCTTAGAAGTGTTACCTGACTTACCCATAGTTGTATAATCAGGATACAACGGAATGGGGAAAGAAATGCATGTGTGTTGCTGCAAAGTACCTCTGTTTTCTACCATGCCACACTGCTGTGCTAACTATTGTGGAGAGCTGAAGTCGTGCTAAAAAGGGTTGGTGATACAACAGCACTGTCATACATCCAAGTGCTTCTGTCAGGCCTTGGCCGGTTACCCCGCCCCACCCCCCCTTAGATGCAGCACCATCTGATCCGTTGGTGCATGTGTGTAGTAGTGATGTATCTACCCTCTTTCTCTGTCCTTTAGCGCATAGAGCACGAGCCATAGAATCCTAGAGCTCAGAAGTGCCCTGAGGCTTAGGTAATACCACTGTGGTCTGTAAAACACCCAGCAAGCTCTCTGTCCTGCTTTGAGCACTCAGTAAATATTAGCTCACTCCTGTCCTGATGTATATACTATAAGATTTTCAAGGGTCAGGGCTGTACTTCTGCTCTTTCTAGGTTTCCTATCACTCTGGACTGAGCACAGGAGATGGCAGTAAAGTGAAAAGGTTAAGGGGCTTCCAGTTACTTGCTGTGAGACCATGGGCAAATTACGTAACCCCTCTGGGTCTCAGGTTCTTCATCAGTAA